TCCTCCTCTTCCTCTTCCTCCTCCTCCTCCTCCTCCTCCTCCTTCTCCTCCTTCTTCTTCTTCTTCTTCAATAAACTGATTCTCTGTAGGTTGCTCTGGCTGGTCTTGAACTCTTAGGCTCAATTGATCTCCCTGCCTCAGCCTCCTGAATGCTAGAACTATCAGTGTGTTCCATTATGCTTGGCTTTGTTGTTAGTTTCTTTTTCTTTCTTTTCTTTTTTATTTTAGGGAAGGGTCTACAGGGTGCTCAGAGTTTCACTACTAGATTGGACTGGTAGTGATCTGCCTGTTTACAGCCTCCCAAGAGCTGGGATTACAGGCATGCACTACCACACCCAGTCTCAATTGCCATCTCAGCACTGGGGGTGGGTCTGGCACAGCAGACCCGGGGATTGAACTCTTGGCCTCGGTTGTTGTTAGTTTCTATAACTGATTTATTTCATGTAAAATTGGTCATTATAGTTAAGTTTAATTCTTATTAACCATCTTCTAAATTTGATGCAATTCCTTCCTTAATCTACACAATGTTAGTGGCTTGGTTAAAAGTCCATAATATGTTTGAATATAACCACTCTTTTTTTGGCGGAACAGGGGATTGAACTCAGGCCCTTGCACATGCCAAGCAAGTGCTTATTCTACTGAGCTATCTCCCTGACCCGTATAACCACTCTTGATGTTGAATATTTTTGTTTCCTGGTTGATTTGGATAGTTTTTGGGTTTTGTTGTTTTTGAGATGGGGTGTTACTGTGTTGATAGGGTAATTTTGAACTCCTCGGCTCAGGTGATCTTCTCTAGCTGGGAATGCAGTGTTCCTGGGATTCTAGGTACCTGCCACCATGCCTGGGTATATCTTTTTTTTTTTTTTTTTTTTTTTTGAAGGGCAGATAACAATCAAATCTTCTATTTTGTAGAATAGCTATTAATTAAAAAATTAATTTCATTTTAATTTAGAAAATAAACATATAACACCTGCATCTTTTTATGGAGATGTTGAGGGGCTTGTGGGTTAACTCAGTTGTTTAAGCACCTGCTTGGGCAAACCCAGTCAGGTGCAGGGGACTGCGGTTTGATTCCCAGCTCCACATGCCCAGCCAGACCTGCCCTTAAGGCAGCCTGAGCCAGAAAAAAAAAATCCTTTTTATGGAGATGTATCACACAAGGAAATAACAGAATCATGGCTTTAAAAAACTTATAGGGCTCTTTCTGTTTTGGATTTCATTAGGTGTTATCAGCATCAGGTGGACTCATTAAACCTTAGAACAGTATCTTAACTTTATTTTCACTACTTCTTGAACAGAAATCATTTTTAGCAACAATTCTGAATAATCTAATATAGCCAGCTGCAGTCCTGATAAATACTAAGAAATTTTTTTTTTCTTTTTGTGTAACTGGAGATTGAACTGAGACCCTTGCGCTTGCCAGGGAAGCACTTATTCTACTGAGCCATCTCCCCGGCCCCAGAAAATTTAAATGAACTAAAGGTGATTAAACTATTTTTTTTTTCTTCTTGTAATACAAACATGATTATCTGATCACACCACTGGGTGTTCAGTTTTGTTTATTTATAAGTTTCCTGTTTCTGACTTAATGTGAGTCAGCTTCATCTGCAAGTAGCACATTCTACCATTTTCAGGTACCTGAAAATGGTTTCTTTTCATTTTTCTTCTTTTTCACTTTTATGACCTTTTTTTTTTTTTTTTTCTTTTCTTTTGAGACAAGGTCTTGATATGTAGCTCTGTCTGGCCTTGACCCCATTGTTTAGAACAGAGTGGCCCTAGATTCATTATGTAGTTTACACTGGCCTCAAACTCATGATGATCCTCCTGCCTCAGCCTCCCAAGTGCTGGGATTATAGGCATGTGCCACCACACCCAGTCTCAATCACTGGCTGAGCGCACACTGGGGGTGGAGCTGGCACAGTGGAGATTGAACCCTGGTCCCTTTGTCTGTGTAAGTAGATGCTTTAATCTGGTGAGCTACCTGGCTGGCCCTTCTTGGACAAATCTTTAATTGGTGTCCTTCCATGCCTGAGCATTTTGGTTTAAAAGGCAGTAAGCAAGTATATTGGAAATTGCACAAAGTCTAGTAATTTATATCTTGCAGCATGGTCACTGCTTTATCAAACATGTGTTCAAATCTTTTTTTTCTTTGTCTTTTTGAGACAGGGTTTCATTATCTAGTTTGGACTGGCCTTGAACTCACTTTGTAGCCCAGGCTGGTCTTGAAGTCACAATGATCCTCCTGCTTCAGCCTCCTGAGTGCTAGAATTACAGGTGTTCACCACAAGTCCTGGTCTCTTGGAAAAATCTTTAATTTCTCTTGAGTTGAAGATGTTGATGTGAAAAGAGAAAGTTAATGAGAAAATCAGCAAGGATCTAAGTATTAATTCTTTGATTTAACAAAACAGAACCCTTTGTTCTCTCACATAATATTTTGATGTCCAAATAGATCAATTTATTTGTAATCTATTTATCTGTAATTCATACTGTTTTTATTTTTAAGACCCTGCTTTTACATGGAAACATCATTACTTCTCTTAGAATGGCACCAGCTTATCTACCCAGAAGTCTTGCTATACTTTCTTTGGCAGAAAATGAAATTCGGGACTTGAATGAGGTAAAATCTTATGCCACTTAAGGGTTCAAGGAAGCTGGCAGATCCAGGGGACATATAAAGTTTTGTGAATTCACTTTTAGACCTTGAACATCTTGGAAGAAAATGCTATCAAGATTAAATACTTAGCTCTAGATTATCATTAGTTTTCTTTCTATTTTTCCTAGTATCAGTGGTCCATGTGTTGTTAAGGCCTATTCTCATTTTTTTTTTCCTTTGGCGGAACACGGGGTTGAACTCAGGCCCTCGCGTTTGCCAGGGAAGTGCTTATTCCCCTGAGCCATCGCCCCGGTCCCGATCCTATTCTCATTTGTAATGCTGCGGTTATTATATTGTAAAGGTGATGGTTGCTAGAGGGATATCATCTGAATTCCTGGGGTTAATAAGGCACCTGTGCACCTCCCCTAGCTATTTTTATGTTTCAAAATGGGGTTCTCGGGGGCCTGGCCCTAGCTCAGTTCTTTAAGTGGCTGCTTCCACAAAGCTGTCAGGCTCAGGTGACTGGTTTGATCCCCACAACTCAAGCCAGCCAAACCTGCCCTGAAGGCATTCGGAGAAAAAAAAATGGGGTTCTCTCTCCTTGGAAATAGACCTGGTACTTTCTGAGGGACTTGGTGCAGTAAGGACATTGTTGGAATTTTGGAAGTCAGTGCCTAAATGAAGAGTATTACTTGTTGCTTTTCAGAACAAGAGGAAAATTGATGCATTCTCAAATGCTGCCAAAGATGTGTAGTCATTGGAAGCCCTGTTTTTGACACTGAATAGTCCATTTTGTTCAACACAGACATCCTTTGTTCCAGGTCTCTTTTTTGACATCCTTAACTGAATTGGAGCAGTTATCAATCATGAACAATCCTTGTGTGATGGCAACACCATCCATTCCAGGGTTCGACTATCGGCCATATATCGTCAGCTGGTGCTTAAATCTCAGAGTCCTAGATGGATATGTTATTTCTCAGAAGGAAAGGTGAACATATTAATCATTTAATAATTTATTAGTTTCATATTAATCATGAAAATTACTGAAAAAGCCATTTCTAATTTACTATAGATCAAATTGAATATTACTTAAAAATACATGTTTGGAAATTAACAGCATGAGTGCAGTCATATAGTAGACTATATACTGGTCATTTAGGATTGGCTCTTCTTTTTTTTTTTGGTGGAACTGGGGATGGAACTCAGACCCTTGTGCTTGTCAGGCAAGTGCTTATTTTACTGAGCTATCTCCCCAGCCCTTCTTTTTATTTTTTATTTTTATTTTTTAATTTTTTTCCTTCTTTTTAAAAATGGACAAGAAATACCAGAGGTTAGGGCTAGTAAGTCTAATTTAGTCTCCAGCTTATAACAGTTGGATTTTGAAAAGTTTCTTACTCATTTGTTTGGAACATGGAACAACTTCTACGTAGTATAGGATTGTGGATTAATCCCATACAAATTTATAACATCATATCTGTAGGGGAAATAAGAATTTCTTAGAACCTTTTATAAAATAATGATTCTCAGAAAATATAGGCCTACTGATTGGTCCTTTCTTTCTCATGCTGTGAATCTATGTAAATGCAAGCTTCCCCATGTCTCAGTTTCTCTGGGTTAGAGCTAGAATGCTCACAAGGTCAGGTCTTCTGGCCACTGGTACATGATCAGTGCAGTTGGAACTGTAGGAAGATAAGGAACGAGGATGTGAATGTGACAGAGTGAAGATAGATGGGATAATGAGTCGTTCTCTTAGTGTGCCTCATTTCACTTTATGCTCTGGGACCATCTATACATGTATTCACTGATTCTCTATGTGCATTCTCTCTCACTTTTAAAAATGATTATAACTTCTATAGTGTTGCTTTATTTACTTACTCTATTCCTTTGGTAGTGGGGATTAAACCCAGAGCCTAATGCATGTTAGGAAGCACTCTTCTGCTGAGTTGTATCCTCAGCTCTTCATATTTTATTCTGAGACGTCTTGCTAAATTGCCCATGCTGGCCTGGAAGTTTCTATCCCCCTGGCCTCCCAAGTAGTTAGGATTGGGCTGGGGAGATGGCTCAGTAGAATAAAGGGTCTGAGTTCAATCCCCGGTTCCGCAAAAAAAAAAAAAAAAGCCAAGTAGTTAGGATTGTAGGAATATGTCACAGGTCTGACTGTCACCTTTTAATCTCAGCACTTTGGGAGGCTAAGGCAAAAAGACTGCAAGTTCGAGCTCAGCCTGGACAATTTAGAAAGATTTTGTCTCAAAAAAAAAAGGCTGAGGGGGCTGGTGAGATGGCTCAGTGGTCTAAAGCACCTACTTAGACCAAGCTTAGCAAAGCACAGGGACCACGGTTCAATCCCCCAGCCCCACATGCCAGCCAGCCGTGCCTCCTGGTGGGCTGAGCTGGCCACACACACACACACACACAAATAAAAATAAATAAATAAAAAGGCTGAGGGTTTTCCTGATAGTAGGATGAGTGACAGAGTGTAGTATTTTTTGTTTCCTTCTGCAGCTCCATATAGTTGCTGAGTAGAGCAGAAAGCAGGAGGAATGGCACCCAGGAGCCAGGTAGGAGTTTGCTAGTGTGGAGTGAGGTGTCTATGTCTGACCTGGTTTGCCAAAAGAAAGGGGGAAGTTACCATTTTATCCTGCAGTAAGTTGTTCTGTATAGAAGTCATATTTTGTTTCAAACTAACTAGTCCTAAAGGTAGACTATGGGTCTACTTGAGTTATCTTCTCTGATCTTTGTATAAGAGAGAAAATGAGAATTTTCCATAGGACTGACAGCATTTTAATATTTGAGAGGCATTATGGTGGTAACCTTGCTTCAATTTGAACAACCCTTTTGCCCAACCTTGTTTCATTTATCTACCTCTATTCCTTTTCCTGTATTATTTTGAAGCAAATCTCAGATTACATATAATCTGTATTTCATCGTATGTCTCTAAAAGGGAAGAGCTCTCAGACGTAACCAGAAAGTTATTATATCACAGAAAAATTAAGAATATTGTAAATTATAATAGTCCTTATAAATGGATGTATTATCTATCTGTCTATCTATCTTACTATCTATGTGCAGTGCTGGGGATTGAACCCAAGCTTTATGCCTATTAGGTTAGGCATACATTATTATCTCTTAGTTATATCTTTAGTTCTATGTTTTTTCTTTTGGATTTTTTTTTTTTTTTAAACAAACTCTCTGGAGTTATTTATTTATTTATGTGTGTATGTGTGTGTGTGTGTGGCCAGCTCAGCCCACCAGGGGGCGGGGCTGGCTGGCATGTGGTGCTGGGGGATTGAACCACGGTCCCTGTGCTTTGCTAAGCTTGTTCTAAGTAGGTGCTTTAGACCACTGAGCCACCTCTCCAGCCCCTCTTTTGGATTTTTTGAGACAGGGTTTCACTGTGTAGATCAGGCTGTTTTGAACTTATGTAGCCCAGGCTGTCCAGGAACTCACAGTGGTCCTCTTTTTTTTTTTTTTTTTTTTTTTTTGTGGTTTCGGGTTAAACTCAGGACCCTGAGCTTGCCAGGCAGGTACTTATTCTACTGAGCTATCTCCCCAGCCCCAGATCCTCTTACCTCAGCCTCTTTGAGTGTTGGGGTTGCAGGCACGCACCACCGTGCCCAGCTAGTCTCAGTTCTTAAATGTATTTGTTTGTTGTTTTGACAGAGGGTCTCACTGCATAGTCCAGGCTGACCTTAAATTTGGTATCCTTTCTTCAGCC